GTCAATATTTCGCTGGAACAATCATTCACGTCACTATATAAAAAAGAGAGAAAACGTTAATTTAACAGCAAAATGTATGGCACCCAGATGCCTTAAAAAATGTTCATAAAATCGCAGGCTTCGCTTGGCTGAGTTTTTCCGATAATGCAAAGGCTTGTGAGTTTCGCTCACATAATTTTATTTTCTCTGTCAAGTTGAACAATATAATGTTTAGCTTTCCTCAGTGAGGACGGTCATCTTTTATGCTTATGGCTTCAGTTTTCTTGCTACTTGAACTGTTTTAAACAACTGAGACACTTATGTATAAGGCCATATGGAACAGATGTTTCCATTCCGAACAAAATATTCAATTACAGCTCAAATTCCCATCAGACACTGGGCGAGATTGACGAAGGCAATATATAGTTCCTTGATACGTTTTATTGTGATAGCAACTTTACTCTATGCTGCGAAATGAAATTATTGTTTGCTGAGTCAGGCAGAAGCTAATTACCGTCGACACCTAACGATAACGTAGGTGCATGACACTTCTGCCAGAACGTCGAAGTCAAGTCGTGTAATTGTGAAGCGCGTCAGTACAGTCCAAAAGTAAAAAAAAAGGTTGTTTAGGTGTTGTATTTTACGGGGCCGCTTTCATTCGATCCTTACTATATATATAGCGTATAAAACTTGAAATTAAATGTGACAGTGAAAGCGAGGGCGTCCACTTGGTCTCGACAGGAAAGATTTGTGGCGGAGGAGGTTGAGGCGCTTGCTCTCGGGTGTGAACGTTTTCTCTCCAACTTTCAGTTTGCTGTGTTTTCACAGCGTTGATTGTTCTTGAGGCTAGCTTTCTTCTCTTTCTCTTTGAAAAGGCTGCACTTAGATAGCCTGCGAACGCTGGGCATTCAAAACTTTCCCCAAGAAAGGGGTTTAAACTGATGACTGAGAGACGTAGTTATCAGTTTACAGTTTATATTTCGTCCCCATGCTAAAATTCCGAACATAGTTTTACTTTCGCTCGCGAGATACCAGTATACAGAAAGGTCCCATATAACCACCATATTCCACATGCGCAGCTTGGGATTACTAGTTAAAGGTTCACATTTCCAGTCTGCTCCGTTACTTTTCGAAAATAATGATGAGTGCGCTTTCGTTTTGCTTGTACGAGGCAATATCCAAGGAACGTTAGATGGAGATGCTGGGGATTTATAAGTCAGGTGGTGAATTTCATTTACGAAAGAAGCGTATGCTAGGAAACGTTGGTGAGCTCACTGCATGAACGGTATTTTTTTTTCTCGGCTCGCCAGTGTCAAACATGGCGAAGCTCTCTCTTTTCTGAATGTATCAGCGACCTTCACATATTGCTAAGCATTAGAGCAATTGGTGGTAAATAGTCAAAAAAGAAGTTTTCACTGCAGTAAGCATTCTGGAAAATGTGCTTGTCTTCTTTAGAGTATCAACTGAAGCTTCTTATCAATTAGGGAGCACTGCAGTACGGGTTCTAAAGGGCTCAAGGTCGATGGCAGGTACGGCGGTCTTGTTTACGGTAGCTGGCTCCCCGCGGTAGTCCGCATAGCCGATGCTCGCCAGTGAGGGGGACGCGTTCTTGGAGACAGGATGAATGTTTATTTACATCATGAAAAAGATGGAACTGTACAGAGATTCAGCTATTATGTACAAAATGTCTTCGGCTTTTATAGCCCGTAGATTCCTTACACGGCAGTCCAAAGAAGGCCTTGACCCCTGTCGCCACAAATCTGGTGACATTCAGTCTCAGTGATCCACCCACCAGAAAATATGCCCATACTGGACCACTCGGCTGATGACGAACACGGGTTAAAAAGTCCAATGGGTAGCACGAGCGCACCACACAATGACACACAATGACGCAGGCGGTAGAGTCTGGTGGGAAGGGAAAGTCGAGCTCCTCTGGGGCGAAGATGGCCGCTGACACAAACGTCAGCAGTGGTCCATGGCTGTGTTCAGCTGCAGTGTTCCAGTAGTTTCTCGAACACAGCACTCCAGGTGCTCGATCCTCGAGAACTATTACTGCGACGCCTTCCCACGCTTCCAAACTGTTGGTTCTGTGTCACGACCTCGCGAAGGAGACAATGGCTGTGTGGAGAAATTAACTCCATGATCACTGCAACAGTGGCGCCATCTCACGCTGTTCGACTCCGCTTAACAAAAGGGCCGTCCGCAAAGTTTCTGTCAAGCTCCTCATTACCCGGCCACAGCAAATTGCCTGGACCACCTGCAGGACAGCATTGTGCTTATCGCTTCCGACCGGACACCGATATTGGGGTGAAAGCCTTCTAGCAGACCAGCTCACGCACAATAGCGTCTGCTAAGACGAACTGCCTGGCCAAACGTAACAGGGCCAGTTGATCCCGTACAGGAATGAAAATCTGCGTTTTTACGTAGGAACACATATGTATCCACGATCGGTTAGTGTTTGCGCCAATTTTCGAGATAATTAGTTGTGCCCGAGTTTATCAGTTATGCACGTACAACTTTCATGATCAACGCACCGCTACAGCCGATGACGACATGAAGACAGATGCACATGACGAGCACTGTCTCACAGCTGGAAGACTTATTTCGAAAAACGAAAGCACGGAAACAATGACCGCCCATAGCAGATATGTGCCTAAGTCAGACAGTAAAATAAATGAAGTTAACGACAACACCTGCACGTCCTGAAAGAAACTTACACATGTCACCAGACATCACACCAGCTGAGCAGTTCAGCAATCTCCTTGTCTGACAAGAAAATCGCCACATGGCACACGCATCTCTCGAGCGTTGAGATCCACTAAAATCACCTGAATGCCAAAACCAGGAACGTTTGTATGAAACGAGCCCTATAGTTCGCACAATGTCACGGGTGGGATGACTAGAAAACTAAACAGAATAAAGAGGCTTCTAGCGGGCAGTCCTAAATTATACTGTAGCTAATAACACGCGTCCTCTGCATCCCATTGTAATTCATAATAGAGGGCTTTATCCTAATCCCCACAAGGGAGCGCTACTATGTTTTCGCATGATATCAACGCCTGAAGAGCTTTGGATATGGCAGAGAGGGTTGAGGATTGGCTATGCAAATGAATTCGATTATTGCCTCCGAAACATTTTGGATTTCGTGTTTCCTCACAGTTTTTGGTTACCCCTGGTACATTTTTTTGGTATTCACCTCGTACTTTAGAGCACACAAAGTAAATTCCGGGAAAAATATATGCAGTGACGGGGAGCCTTCTACCATTCTGAACCTTTTTACTTCTTTGGCGACGTTATTGGAAGCAAAGTACAGGTAATTCAAATGGCGGCACGCTGTCTGCCTTTTGCGCCTCTTCGCGAAGACCCGTAATGATATGCTAACAAGGTGCGCTTCCCGGAACGTGAACGAAAGGTGCTCAGCGCCGACATTTCGTGCCTTGCCAAGAACAAAAAGTAATAAATAGATCGGGTACGGCAGGCTCTTGAGAGGCATGCATCGTGTCAGAGCTGAGGCTTTCGTAAAGGAGGCGCTAAAGTTCCCCGATAACGACCCTCCTTTCACCCTGATAGCTGCAGTGTATAGTTGCGTGTCACATCTGAAAAGAAGAACAAAATTGCATCGCAACATTTGTAATGACTACCTATCTCACTTTCACCCTTAGTCTTGACGCGGGAAAGGTGAAATGTTGCTTAACTTTGCTTCTGTAAACTTAACTTCTTAACTTCTATCGGTCGTTTATTTATTGTGTTCGGTTGTTCATTCTCTTTTTCTGTTTAGGCAACTGTGCAAGCTTTATCATATCACTGACAATGCCACCTTCAAAGTTCATCTCATTATGATGTTGGTAGTTTATACCGTTCATCGCAATTGTTTCCTATGTAGTGATCAATGACAGACTTCATTCAGCTGTCGTCCACATTTTCAGCCAGTTGAAAGAGACACAAATGCTAGTATTACGCTGCACCTAACAGCTGATGCTCAGCTTCAGTTAAAAAATTGTACATTCATTATTGTCATCTTTACATTTTTTATAAGGGACATTCATTCGTGAAGTAGCAGAAGTGTAAGAATCATGCAAGTTTTCATGCTAGTGATCTTCTTCTAACAAACGCGGTAATCAACCCTGTCATAAAGTAATCAGTAGAGCCTCACGACGTTCTTGTATTTGTATCGTTTCTGGCGTGTGCGAAGTAAGGTCGGATATTCCATGAGCAACATGAAAGACAGGTGCATTGATCGGTACTCCGCGTGTTTCCTACGTGCCTAGAGTGCATCCCTTGCAAACACTGTGATGCTGCTCCCTACCGGTCGCACGGTATCGGATGGCCAAAATTTACTTGACAACGAAGCTGCTAGCGTCTGGTTGGAAGAAATATTCCTCGGAATTGTCTTCTCCTATGCGAGAAAAAAGAAGAAGTTTGTGCTGATGTCGAAAAGACTGCAGTACAGAGTCGTCTTGGGCCAATCCCCCTTAGTGGGTGAGATCCACAAAAGAAAGGAACAAGCAAGCAAGCAAGAGTCGTCTTGCTGTAGATGCGAAGCAATTATTAAACTCTGCAACTCGAATAATCGTGAAACTATAACTAATAACGCCAATATTAATAGTATATAGAATAACTAATGGCATATCGGCTTCGGATCAAGTCTTTTAATCTTACTCGAGCTTAGGTGACGCATGTTAGGAAGACTAAAAAACGACGAAAAGACGCAACATCATCAATCATAAACTTGTATATGTACTAATAGGCTAACCAGAACTGCGCGAGTGAGCGTACAGTTTATTTTTGACTATGCAAGTATAAGTACAGCCTTATGAATCGTGGCTTTTATAAAACACACGGCATTACGTGCACAAAGTACCTGCTTTGGGAGCCTCTCTCAGATCATTTGAATTGTCTATTGCCTGTGGTATATGTAATAAGAGCTTGCAGTTAAGGCTGCCTCAACCTATGAACTCTTAGAGGGAAGATTTAGAGGTAAGCCAATGGAGAACTGACACTTTTCTAACATTTCTCTGCAGAGATACAGCGCGTACAAAGCCAGAATGGCAGCAGCTCTCGGTCATCCCACACCTGGGTGCCACCTGGACCCCTCATGGACATTCACAAGGGGCGCTCGGTGCGACTCCAGGTTCGAGTGCAAGTGCCCGTCAAGGACCACCCGAATGTAAGCTTCTGATTGTTGGAAATGATTATATATTGATGAATCTTCCGGATAATTATATAATGATGAATTTCTTTAGTATAACTCAAGGGACGAATTGCAATTAATGATTACTTAATCTGCAAGGAGAGCACAAAGCTAGGCCTTAAAATTATTGTGCAGAAAACAAATGTAATGTACAACAACCTCGGAAGAGAACAACGCTTAGAGATAAGTAGCAGTGCACTTGAAGTTGTAAAAGAGGACGTCTATTGAGGTCAGCTAGTAACCGCGGAGCCGAACAAGACATTGAAGCAACTGGAAGAATAAAAATGGGGTGGAGAATATTAGGCAAGCATTCTCAAATAATGACTGGTAGATTGCCACTATCCCTCAAGTGGACAGCGTACAACAGTTGCGTCTTACCGGTACTTAACTAAGGAGCAAAAACCTGGATTATTACAAAGAGAGTTCAACCTAAATTGAGGATGATGCAGCGAGTATTTGCAAGGAAAATAATAAGTTTAACGTTAAGAGACAAGAAGAGAGCAGAGTGTTTGAAGGAACAAACGAGTGTTAAGGACATCGTAGTCGTAATCAAGAAAAAGAAATGGTCACGGGCAGGGCACGTAGCGAGAAGGCAAGGTAACCGCTGGTCACAAGGGATTCCAATAGAAGGCAAGCGGGTGAGGGGGACACAGAAAGTTAGGTGGACAGTTGAGATTAGGAAAATTGTGGGTATGAAGTAGCAGCAGCAAGCACAGGACCAAGTTAAATGACGGAAAATGATAGACGCCTTTGTCCTGCAGTGGATATTGTCAATCAGGCTGATGATGATGAGATCTTATGATTTGATTTATACGTGGTTTATAACGTCCCAAAACCACCACACCATTATGAGAAATGTCGTAGTGAAGGTCTCCGGAAATTTGACGTTCTTTAACGTGCCCCCAAATCTGAGCAGACGGGCCTGCAACATTTTCCGCCTTCATTGAAAATGCAGCCGCCGCATCCGGGATTCAATCCTGCGACCTGCGGGTCAGCAGCAGTTCTTATGTTACAGAAATAACCTTAATACACAGAACTTCACCCGAGTGGCTGGGCTAAAAGTAGCCTTAAAGTGTATATAGGCTTTTACGTCATTATTCCACTGAGCTTTCAGAGAATACCTTTTGTTTCTAAGTAACATATCGAGTGACACATTTTTGTGGTTCACTGAATTGCTGTGCCAACGTGTCACTAGAGCAGATTGAATTGCCAGCAAATGCTAGAAGAGTCTAAAGTGCCTAAAATTGTTTCATATGTATTTTCTTGAGAGGTAAAGCGCCAGTTTTACCTGCAAGCCAACTGCAAGCGAATCTAGCTCCCAGTATCCAGCCTGTACTAGACCTATATTCCAGCATGGCATTGGACACTGGCACCCAGTGGCACTGAGTCTCACAATGGAGTAGTAAAGTGCACTAGCATTGAACTTTCTGTGGCTAGGACTACTGAGCAGCAGGGCTGGCACTATTGCATTTGTTGCAGGTGAAGGTGGTCATGACAGGACCGACACCCATGTCACTTGCCCTTTTGGCTGTTAAAAGTCTGTGGAGATTAGCGCCATGGCAGCGTTGAAACGTTTTCACGGCCTTTTGTACATCCAGTTCACATTTGTATATGAATTGATGTTGTTTACTACAGTAGCTGAGGCTCACTGACTTAGTTATCAGTCGTTAATGCCGTATAGTGAGCTCTGAGGGCATCTCGTACTTGCAACGCATAACCATCCAGCTGGTGTTATTGATTGATTTGATTGATTGATATGTGGGGTTTAACGTCCCAAAACCCCCTTATGATTATGAGAGACGCCGTAGTGGAGGGCTCCGGGAGTTTCGACTTCCTGGAGTTCTTTAACGTGCGCTCAAATCTGAGCACACGGGCCTACAGCGTTTCCACCTCCATTGTAAATGCAGCCGACGCAGCCGGGATTCGATCCCGTGACCTGCGGGTAGCAGCCGAGTACCTTAACCACTAGACCTCTGCGGCAGGGCTGGTGTTATTGATTTGGGTTAATGCGTTTGCTGAATTCGAAAACTATCGTAGCCATGAACCGGTTAAGCTCTGTTAGACCTCTTCATCTTTTTCTTCGCTTCTAGAACACATGCGTCAGTTTCTCCTGTGGTAAATAAAATAACTTTGATGGTTGAGAGTACGAGTGTAAAGATACAGGAAGATATAGATGAAAAACAAAGTGAAGCAGAAAAAAATAGAGAGAAGGCAATGGAACCAGAACAGAGAGAGAGAGAGAGTAAGAGAAATAGAGAAATGTAGAGAGAGCGAGATAAAGTGATGCAAAAGCAAAATAAAGACAAGGTAAAAATACTGAGATAAAAATAGGCAGCAATGAGCAGATAGAGAAAAGTATCGTAAAGTGCATTGTTTATTGTAAAACGTAATATATATTATAGGGGTGGAAAAAGGAAGTGACGGTGACGAGAAGCACTAGCAGGATTTTAACATTAAAATATAGCATTTTTTTGTGGAGCAGAAAAGAAGTGAGGGTGAGCAGGAGTCAAAGGGGGAGGTAAGATATTAGAAATGACTGTTATCCTGTAATATAGTAAAAGGTGGGAAAAAATGGAAGGACAAAGAGGTTAGTCATATAGATCGTGAATTGAAAAATTGTGGATCCATAAGCTTCGCCTTTAAAAGTTGAACGCAATAGCAATATTCTGTTCCTATTGCGCACTGCAAACACTTAGTGTATGAAATCTTTTCGAATTCGCTATGCACCCACTACGTGGCCTTCAGGGTGCAGTACCGTGTGTGCCTTTTCTTGTGGGTGGCAGGCTTTCAACTATAAAGTCATTAAGACAATCTCATGTTCTGATGCACGATGGCAATGTACGCTTGTACTGCGCATCAACACGGCAATATTTCATGTTATATTGTCAAGCGTTTATAGGGGATGCATGCTTTTGTAAAGCACGAAAGTTGCTTTCACTGCATTTTCAAGCAGAACAAGTTATTTTCACTGTATTCACAAGCTTAGACGTGTCTGTGTGGTAAAAGACCCGCTTGCCGGGCAAATGACGTGAGTTCGAACGCCGCTTACAGACAGACCGTTTCCCTAAATATTTTATTTGCATTTTTCTTGATTTTGGCGGTCATGCAAACAATACAATTTTTTTTTGCTCACAACCAATGACGCCGAAGCTAGAATTTCTGCGAGACGAGCTCTTTAACGCTGTCGTGCTAGAAGAAGTGAGGGTGCGGAGGACAGAAAACAGGAAGGCAATGCCAGACGCTCTAGTGCTTTCTTAGTCCTCGTGCCAAAAGTGCGTAGCTGCTTCAAGTTTCTATCGCTTCAATCTTGTTCTGCTCTCCTCATTTTTACGAAGGTGCTCGGGAACTGTAAACGGTTATGGAAAATTATTGCTTGAATGTCAAGCATCATTGTCAGCTTTCTAGCGTGCACAGAGAAAGGGATAAACGAAAGAACGGAAAGGTGTGGATGAATGTTCAATGGGGAAAAAGGTAGTTTCACTAGCCTTTGATCGAGGTTCTTCAGTTAGAAGACATGCTCGTTAATGCATGCGTTAGCCCCATTAAGCAGTGTCATTTTCTGTTGCAAGAATTGAGGAAAATGATTGCCTTGTATATTTTGCGGCGTTGATTCACGTCACTTATCCTAGTTGTTGGCGTGTACAAACACGTCACCTTCCTGTTCAAAAAATGCATCGCCGTACTACATAGCCCAAAAGAGTCATCTGGACCACTGCGATTGCGTGGTGAAAAAACAACACTTTATAGATAAAGCTATATCACACGGCGATATGGCACGTGCTTTTCCGCTGTATAGCTCTGGCTGCGGAAAGGTGCTAGTATGGTCAGCAGCACACAGTCATGTCGAGCAAACTAACTCTGTTTGTAGCGGGACGAGTAATGGCACTCCTTTGTCTCAGGAAAGCACTTCCGGTGAAGAATTTTCGGATGCCTGAATATTCTCAAAAAATATTAGAAACTGTTTCGATGCTTCTCTTTCAAGGTTAGAGTTAAATTGGATACGCATCATATCGATACTTAAGTCTAGTTAGAATAAGGGCAACTTACTGTCACAATAATAATTGAAACATAATTGAGTAAATGCACTGACAGTTTTCTTGTGAGCAGCTGGGACTTTGCGGCACCTGGCAGGGCAGACTTCAAGCACTCGGTTCTTTCTACGTGGTCGCAGTGTGCTGGTTCGGCAGTGCTACCGTACTCAAATTGAACGCAATAATAATTTTAACTAACATACAACAGTGTCAAGGAGAGTATATGGAATGTTATTATTAGCATTTAATGTATAGTGCAAATGTGAAGAAAGAAAAGTGGACGACAGGTAACTTGCCGTGGGCAGAGCCCGATCCTCGCTAATTCCAATAGTGCAACCGATAAGGTTGCCGGTTCGGTCCCTGCCCACGACTTTTTTTCTTTACATTTATATTATAATACTCTATACTTTCCTTGGCAGTGTTGTGTGTTGTTTCTCATTACTATTGTGTCCGACAAGAAAAAATTGTCCTTCCGAACTTCCACCTCATTCCTTTAGGTTTACGCAAAGAATAGTCCAGGAAGCACGGACAAGTTGTGATGATCAATACCAGACAACTTATCATAGGATCACGGCTACCTTCAATATTATTTGTGAACTCTGCTTTATCTTCTTCGCTCAAATAAAATGCACCCATCACATAACGTTTGTTGGTGTTCGCCAACACACTATGGGTATTTAAAGCCACTCATGGAAACATGAACCGAAAATTGGTTGTTGCTTAAGCAATAATTTGTGATGCCTATTTTTATTTTTCCTTTGTCCTCAGTTCAACTTTGTAGGCAAGCTGCTGGGACCCAAGGGCAACTCCCTAAAGCGTCTCCAAGAAGAGACACAGACCAAAATGGCCATACTTGGCAGAGGTTCTATGAGAGACAAAGCGAAAGTAAGTGCACTCACACCTCTTCCTTGGAACATGTGTTTTCGTCCCACATTTTCGTGACATGAAGAACATTTAGGACAACATTTTTATTAGGTTAATAGTTGCCGGATATTTTCTAATACACTTGAGAGAAAGAACATTCTTTATTTATTTTGATTCATCGATTCTACAGGCCAATATATTGGCCCTTTCAGGAGGTGCAATACAGTAACGGAATAATCACAAGATAAACTCAATGCAAGATAAAGAAAAGAAATGTAGAAAGTACATGAAAATGAGGTAGCTTATGGCCGCATAGCGTAAGACGAAATGCTTTATTAGAACAATAGACGAAATAGCACTTTGGTGAAGAGCTCCATGCAAAGAACAGCGGCTAACTCAAACTGCCTTGGGAAAAATAAAATGCTCCCCATACAATAGCAAGGTACTGAACAGACTAAATGATTGATATGAAAATTGAAAGATAGTACCAAGCTCTGATGGAGTTTCTGCTCAATTTTGAAAGAAATGGTTTTTTTAATCTCCTTTGAAAGTTCCATAGTTCCTTGACTGCAAGACATGAGAGGAAGGAAGTTTTATTTTGTTATGGTGAAGTACAAAAGGCAGTTCACGTGAGATTAAGCTTTGGAAATGATTTGAAAGAATCAGAAAGTTGTGCCTATATATAGTTGTGCTTGTTGTCAACGGTGATACATAATGAGGCTACTGAAGCCCGATTCCCATTTTGTAATGTTGTCTAATAACTGTAGATAACGAAGTTTACGCTGACATTCCATTGAACCTATATAAATGGTAGGCATTAGTTTTCACGGGTAATCTTGTCTTTTATATTTTTGAAAGATGAACCTAGCAGCTTTTTTTTTGCGCGGGCCCTTATTCATAATATACTTCTTAGTGTGAAGATCCTAGACAATCGCCGCATATTCAAGTTTTGTAGGCACGAGTATGTTATATGCTAAATTGTTTGTAGTTACTGGTATTTTTAAAAGTTTATTTTTAAAAAGCCACAGTCATCAAAAGACTGCAAACCAATGCAGCCGCTATATAAGCAGGAATTCACTCACTTCTGCTTCATTTTTTATTGGCAGTGTTTTAAGTCACTGAAACCGTTTGAAATAGCTTCTGTCATACCGTGAATTATCAAGATGTAGCTAGTTATATTATTGTCTCAATTCCGACATGTTTTTTAGAGTACTGTGACTCAGCTTTATCTTGGAGTTCTTCATCTGATAATCTTTCGAGTCACACTGACACGTAACGTAGAAAAGGGCAAGGGTTGCTCATCAGTGTCCCATTCTTACTGTATTACCGATACAATGCTCAAGACAGGGCCCTCGGAAAAATGCTCGCGTTTCATGCGTGTACTTCAATTTGATATTATTCGAAGCATTTTATGATCGTTTACAAGGAAATCGAATGGCCATGTAATAGCGACCTCTTTCTTTATTTTTTCAAAATAAGTTTGTGAGACAGTCAATGAACATGGCATACTCTTACAAAGGCAAATCCAATAAGAGCGAGTTCCCGAGGGTCAAACATACCGCGATTAGCACTCGGCAGCCTCCATTCAGTGTACCCGAAGAACAACTTTGTTCATGTTGATAGTATATATATATATATATATATATATATATATATATATATATATATATATATATATATATATATATATATATATATATATACTGTGGACAGTCTAGACTATCGATTGACAGGTGTAAAGTATCGGAATGAATCATTAAAACACTTTGACACCTTAATTTGAATCAACATCCGGTGTTGTTGCGAACTTTCCTGTGCTATCTGCTTTTTGAATGACGTGCGTTTAGCATAGTTTTTACTGGTACCCTTTCTTTCACCTTTCACGCATACATGATTGAGATAAGAATAGCACCTTAGCGCACGAAAGTTAAACAAGAAGAAACAGGTGGCCAGGTTGATTGTTCACGATGCAAACCGTTAAATTCTTTTTAGAGAGAAAAGAAAGTATGCCTAACAGTGTTGAACAAAGTGCCTATGAGCCTATCTCTCCATCGACCGCTCTGCCTGTTGCTTTTTTACTATTTAAAAAATAACTATGTTGTACGCTTGCGGCAAGCTTAACATAACGTGATTAACAAATGCAAACATTAAAAGACAGATGATGCTATTAAATGCATAAGTAAAAATCTACATCTCCATTTAGCGACATTATTTTTTTATAGACCTTTTTCAGGGGGTTCCGCCAAACTTTACGAATTGATTGTCCAATGGGTTCATTAAAGAGCTTCTTGTCTCATGAACTGATTGATTCATATGTGGGGTTTAACTTCCCGAAATCACCATACAAATATGAGAGACATCGTAGTGTAGGACTCTAGAAATTTCGACCCCCTAGGGTTCCTTAAAGTGCACCCAAAACAAAGCACATGTGCCTACCACATTTTCGCCTTCATCGAAAATGAAGCCACCTCGCGCAGCTGGGATTCGTACCCGCGACTTGCGGGTCAGAAGTTGAGTAACTTATCCACTAGACCAGTGCGGCAGGGCCTCTTATGAACTGACTGCCGCAAACGTTTGTTAGACTTCAGCTAGTGTGATCGGAAGTACGAAGATTTGTGTTACGATTACACTGCTTTCTTTTTTTCATATTTAGAAGCAAGAGCGCTAACAGTGATGTGGAAGAAATGGGAAGATGACAAAGGAGGCGAGAGTGCTTTTGCCCGTGCTCACCACGACCTCGAACACTTTCTTTTTCTCTTCTTTTTTTTAAGAAACGCGTGACTTTCAGCGTGATCAATGAATGCACGCGCGGACACTAAGCAACATTTCAAGCTGGGTACGCCAACTATGCAGTTCACAATTCTCAAATTAGCCAATGGAAGTTGCATTGAGTTTATGGCACGGGAGTATGATACTACGGGTGGTCATTTGATTTTATGCCATTTTTCGCCACGAGAAAAGCGAGTGATTTGTGGCTGAATTTGATAGCTGCATAAATTTCAGGCCGCGTGCTCCGTCGAGGTGTTTGGCTCCCGTGTTTGTTCACAGGTGCCTAGACTGCCGGTCAACTGCGTTTTCTCACCGCGCTGAAAAAGTGCAGCAAGGCCCTATAGTAAACTCAGTCTTGTCTGTTTGTGTGAACATCAAGTCTCTTTCGTACAGTGGCCTATAAATTATGTCGATCGGCACTGTCCTTTCAGGAAGAGGACCTGCGAAAGCTGAAGGACCCAAAATACTGGCACCTTCACGAAGAGTTACACGTGGAGGTGAATGCCTTCGCACCGCCGGCCGAGGCCTACCGGCGCATGGCTTTCGCGCTTGCACAACTCAAGCCCTTCCTAGTGCCCGTGAGTACGGCAACGGATTCTTCCATGTTTTTCTTTACTTTTTTTGGTCGGAAGAGACATGTCTATCTTATCCAAGTGCACATGTTGTGCTGTTCTGATGTTACTTAACTCATCATCATGAAATGGTGGTATCACACGTTTTGAAGTGCCTTCGGCTGACACAAAGCAAAAGCAATCCGACCTTGGATATGTTACCACGCAACTTACTGCAAACGAACGCTGGCTTTTAAGCCTACCTCGTATGAATTGCACGTTTAGGCAGAGGCGGAGCCGCGGTGCAACACATTTGACCTCCAAGGTGGTGCCGGTGAGGAATTTCTTCTGTGCGTTGTTGAACAATAAAAAATAGTGCCCAATATACATTCCAATGGCTGCTAATGGGGAAATGAGAGATATGAGCATTCTGATTTTAGTGAACGCGCACGCTGCGATCACCATTAGCAGCAATGGGCATGTACATTGATCACTATCTGACAAGAAAGGGTCGCTACGTTATAATCGCTGGGTGTAACCTCCTTAGCTTTAGAAAGGTTTAGTGAGCGTTGAGCCGCAGGGCCATGAATACAATGAACTAGTATATACCATGAATGAACTCGAGGTGGTTAAAGATAGAAAGTAGATACGGAGCGCAAACCGTAAGAAAGTAAAAGACGAATTCTCCTGTCTCTCCTTTCCCATTGGCAGCCATTGGCATGTACATTGAGTACTATTTGACAGGAAAAAGTCGCTACGTTATACTCGCTGGGCGCAACCTCCTTGGTTTTAGAAAGGTTCAGCGAGCGTTGGGTCACAGTGCATTGAATACAGTGAACTAGTCTATAGCATGAACTCGAAGTGGTTAAAGGTGGTAAGTAGACCCGAAGCGCAAGCCGTAATAAAGTGTGCATGCGTCACCTCTCGTTTAGTCCTTGGAATGTCCGCTGGATGGTGGTGCTTCTATATGAGGGATATATGATGAAAAGATGCGAGATGGTGGTACTTGGTGTGTTGAATAGATGGACGAACAAACACACAGTCAGATGAATGGACGGACGCATGAACAAACGCAGGGGCGGATGCATGCACGAACGCAGGGACGGACGCACGAACAGACGAATGCACGGACGGGTGGATGGACGGTCACGCAGACGAACGCATGGACGAGCGGAAGCAAGAACGAATGGACGGACGAATGCTTCGTCTCACTCTTTATCATTCACTCTGTGGATATGCTGCCAATATTTTTTTCGGAGGGGCAGGACATCACTTTGGTCTCAAGCGGGGGCCTAGGGGCCTTACGTGGCCGAGTGTCAATTTGTGTTTTGTATGCTATGGCAAAAAGCATTAAACATATCTTTTTTTTAGAAGGGGGGGGGGAGGGTGGACACAAACCAGTGCTCCACTCTAAAAAATCTTATCGAAAAATCGTCAGAACACAGCGGTTGTTCGCTGCTTCTTTTATTACATCAGTTTAGCTTGCGCGTGTTCTCATCTTTGCGTTCAAATTCAACGTCTTTACCTTTGCAGACCAGCGTGGCACAAAAATGGGTTGGCTCTTCGATAAGCATTTTAGTGTTTCTCTAGAAAAATTCAGAAACAGGACATGGTTATCTCAGTTTACTACATGTGACATCGAATGAACGTGAAAATCATAAGAAAAACATGAACGTCCAAAAAACTACCAGATCCCACGTACTGAGGGAATTGATGATATGCGAATCAGGAATGAGGAAAGTTGATACGTTACGACACTGGACGTAAATTATGCCGTACATTACTTTCATGCCATGAATGTCATGTTTCGGATATGTCATTTATTTTAGTCGTCTATTCACGTCACGTGATATCAAATTTAGTATTACGTGATGTGATATGTCGAGCTTGCGAAACGGCAGCAAGCACGCTATGAGCGTAGCATGTACGTACCCATGTTTTACATCACACGCATGTAACGATTACCACGTTTGGACGTGTCATTTACCTTCGTGATTCTTAATGTCACGTGATATCAAGTTTCGTAGATGTTGAGCTAGCGAAACGGCTGTGAGTACGCTATGAGCGTAACTTGAAGCCATGTTTCGCATGACACGCACATAATGATTATCATTTTTGACGTGTAATTCAATTCGTCGTCTAACCACGACACCTGATGCCGAATTCAGTATGTGTGGAACAATTGAAACGACCACAAGCATGTTATAAGTGTAGAATATAATCACGTTTCGCATGACAGGCAAATCATGATTATCATATTTGGACGTGTCATTTACCTTCGTCGTCCATTCACGTCACGTGATACCAAATTTCGCTATATGTGAAGCAAGCAAAATGGCCGTAACAGCATCATGAGCGTGGTATGTTGTCATGTTCTTACAGGACACTCATGTCATAATTATCATGTCTGCGCCAGTCATATACCTTCGTCATTCCATTGACGTTAGGTAACCCCAAATTTGGTATATCTGACGCTGGCGAAACGGGCCGCGAGCACATCATGAGCTTGGCATGCAGTCACGTTCTTACATGCACGCATCTTTTGATTATATATGATTATCATGTTTCCACCAGGCATATGTACCTTCATCATTCATTCACGTCCCGTAATAGCATATTTAGTATAGGTGAAGATAGCGAGACGACCACGAGCGTACTATGAGCGTGGCGTGTTGCCATGACTATTCACAACGTAAAAATAATGACGTGGATGTGATGATTTCTACGTCAAGGTTGGTCACTCATGTTTGCCATGCAGTCATATCATACCATACCATATTTGCAATATGTCATGTTAATTAAACCACCAGAACAGCAGCAAGACCATATGTAAATCATAATGTTCATGACATACATGTTTTGATTTTCATGTTATGATTAGTTAATTTGTTGTACAGTCATGTTATGCCATTCCAATTTTGCTATTGATACTATTATTGTGAAGGCCAGGAGAGCTAAATGTCGTAGGCGGCTAGATAGATAGATAGATAGATAGATAGATAGATAGATAGATAGATAGATAGATAGATAATAGATAGATAGATAGATAGATAGATAGATAGATAGATAAATAGATAGATAGATAGATATAGATAGATAGATAGATAGATAGATAGATAGATAGATAGATAGATAGATAGATAGATAGATAGATACAAAGTCGCCAAAGTTCGCTAAGAAATGCTTCGCTTTTAAAATAAACTATGTATAATATTCAGACTATTACTGATGGCAAGGTTACAACAACGCCTGTCCTTGGTGGCGCGAAGCGCAACCGACTCTACCAGGGTCCGTCGCGCGCCCTGGCAGCTACCTGGCAGCCACTTGGCACCGTCGTAATCATTAAATAACCATTTAAATATATTTCATATTCGTCCAAGGAGCTTCACTCCAATATCAACCTTGGCTTCGTAGATTGGCTGCCAAGTTCTTGTTTATCCCCCTTCGAAGTGCTACCTTTATGTTGACAAAGTTTAGTATTTCTTTTTGAAGTACTTCTTAAACAGTTTAGTGGTGCTGCTATAAGATCCGGACAGGGTTTTGTGAAGTGCTGTATATAAAAATATGAGCCAACTAGCTAAAAAAAATTAGACAGGAAACTGGTGTCATTCATGTTGGCGAAACATAAGAGTTTGCCCAGCGAATTTTTGTAGGTTGGACTCCAACGGTCACAATGTAGTTCTGCTGAAACGCTCTTGTTGTTATGCCATCTCGTTGTGAACTCGTTCATGGCGTAATTTTCGGCAATGGTGCATTATCAAGCGTGAGGCCCACGGGACGGCTTTATGCTCTCTCATCGTAGAGTGCCTAGTACTCTATATCGTTGACCACTTTTTCTAAGCACACACAAGACGCAATACCATCTTTGACCGGGACGGCTTTCTGCTCTCTATAGTAGAGTACCAATTACTCTAAGTCGTTAAACACTTTTTTCTCAACACACATTCCGCTTGTTTTACAGAGGTGCCAGTGGCTCAAAACCAACAGTGGAATCAATAGGGTCATGCAGTCTGAAAGATGTTTCTTCACAGCAAATAAGCGAAGTGGTGACAAGTAGCACACTGAGCAAAAAAGAAGAAAAAGCATCCGGCATGAAAAAAAACTAACCAGGTGCGCGAGTTTGATTGGTTGAGAAGATGGAGGGCATTGCCTACGCGTGACCGGTTAGCATATCGGGGAGCCGTTCCAAATGACTACTGTCCAAACTGCGGCTAAAGAGAGACGACTCAACATGCTCTGTTTTAGTGCTCGGTGGCAAGGGGCGTCTGGCACATGGTAAAACGCCTCTTTGGCTTTCGCACAGTGCCCATGGGAACAGAACGTGGGTTGTTTGCAAGACTGGTATTTACAGTGACCTTGTACGTACTGTGGTGGCGACGGTGTTTAGCGGAAGTGCGCCACGAGCCTCATAGAGGCGCCTAGCCAGCACTCCAGAAAATACGGCTTTTTGTGTGGAATTACCTAGATCAGCAGCTGGAAACGCATGGCGAAGAGGATTTTTTTCGCCGATGGCACACACGTTTCTTCAGAGTAAGAGAGGGACAGCTGATGTTTCAAGTTGTTCCGTACTAGCCATGCGCCCACGCTAGTACACATGCATTCGCGATGTTCTGTGAAATGTGATTAACTTGATTCATTTTAATTTTGCTTTGGCTTGTAACATTTGGATACCCAGTAATTAATTAGATATTGGTGCTCATTTGTAAGATGTATACACTGTCTTTACTTGTTTTCGATGTTTAGTTTGTGTATGTACAAGATAAGTGTAAAATAAGCTTCCTTTTCTTAATCTACATTGGCTTTGCTTGGTTGCTTTGGCTCAAGTGCGAGGCTCGCGGGATGGCTTTATGGTCTTTCATAGTAGAGTACCTAGTGCTCTATATTGTTACCCACTCTTTTTAAACACAAATATTGCTTTCTTATAAATGATTACGAATTAAATTGTTACCCTTTTGTTTAGGCTCATAATGTTTAGCGTAACGGACTTTACAGCGCGCTCTTTTCAAGCCTCTCTTCAGCTCAGTGCT